AAAAATGATAAATATTGTACACGTAACAATGGGTATAAAGATACGTGGCTGCCCGGGAGGGCAGACAGTGTGCCCATGGCTGACTGCTGAGCAGATCTTTGTTTGGCTGAAAGAACATCTTTTAGATAAACAATTAATAAACATAAAAACCAAAAGAAGAACTGAAGCCTCTTCTCGTCCTTCGATACGCGGGCTGCCCCAAGGCCGCCCCGGGCCTTTCCAGGCCCCTCAAACAGCCGAGATAAACCGGACAGTTTTCCACATTATGAAGATCAGCAGTTAAAGCAGCTCGTAGCATTTGAGGATGGTGCCTTCCATGATGTAATGAGACGTGTTCTTGCTCTGAGCAGGGAATTAATGACTTGTAATTTGCAGCTCATACAAAACTGAGGCAAGTACATGGCAGATGTAGGATGCTGAACCTTGCCATTTAATTAGGAGGAACTAAGAGTGAAATTAGGGTTAAAAGCCTTGAATGGACTGATTATTGTTAGGAAACTGTGAACTGTTAGGTTCCTATTAGAGACACAAAAAGCTCAAATTAATTTAACTTTTCACTGTAACTTTGTGGAATTTGCAGTGCATGTGGGTGACAGAGCCCCTAGGTATGGCTTGAGCCAGTCTTGCAGCAGCTTTTGCTGTTGGGGAGATGATTTACTATTTTTTATATGCAAACACATTATTTGAATTATTTGAAAATGAATGAACACATTGAACACATTCATTTTCAGCTATGCTGCCTGTTAGCTGTACATTCAGAGAAAAAGTTTAGGGTGATTTCACTTGACAAAGCAGTTTAGACTTGAGGGGTTTTATAATTTATTTATTTAAAATTATATTTTGCAACAATTTTGATCAGACACTAAGTACATTAAAAATTTATCTTCCAAGCTTTTAGTACTTGAAACTCATTAAATAATAAAAATATCAATATAGAGAGGGGAAGTCTTTAGGGATTCAGACCAAGGAAGAAAAATTAGAATGGTTTTATTTATTTGTTTTTAGGATCCATGCTAATCTTTAGTCAAGGAAAAAAATTATTGTGGGCTTTTAGAATGAAATTATTTCTTGATAAGTTTTCTTATGCAAAGAGGGATTCGTACATGTTTTGGCACAAGAATATTTTGAAGTGACCTGCAGGAAAGCAACTCTTCTTTAAAAGCAGCTGGGCAGGAAAAGCTCTGTAAGAGATCTTTAAATATGAGCTGGAGAGCTTAGTAGCTGTGATATGTATATGTCTGTGGAAAAATTTAGGCAGAAATCTGTGATGTCAGCATTACTAGTGTAGTTGGTTTGAAAGTTTTATGAATAACAAAATACTTAAACTGATTAAAGATAGCACTTAAGTTGTTTGTATATGCTGAGATTATCCCAGTGGTTACAGACTGAAAGCTTGGCTGTGCTTTCTTTGTGCTTTCTTTGGTTCAGGCTCTTGCTATTCTCAGTCCTTTTCTTTGTTTTGAGCTTATGTTACAAAATATTGTGGAAACCTCTTTAGTTGCAGGGGTTTTTATGTTGATCTGTCAAAATTAACTTATTTTGGTGTGTTTTAAGGCAGTGACTTGGTTTTTCTAGAAGTTGGAAAGCATTAAGTGACTTTTGGACTTCAGTATAGTCAATATTATCACAAAAAAGAAGGAGGATAATATTCAAGATCTACACAGACACATACTTAATATAATAGGTAAATTTCTTAAGCCAGCTAGTGATCTGTAAGTCTGGCTGCATTGCATATTTTTTTTCCTCATCCAAAATTCTGTTTTATAAACCTTTGTACATCTTAATTCTTTGCTTTGTTTTCAGTTTACTTTGTTTTCAGTTTAGCTTTACTGAGCTAAAAACTAGTATTTGAATCTAGAATTCCTGCCCAGGTAAAATTTGCAGTGCAGTGGAGTGCAGGACAAAATTTACAGGAGCTTAAGAAGCCTTTGCCTACACTATTTTTTTTTTTTTTTCTGTAGGGAAATGTGTAGGAAGAAAGAGTTAACATTTTTGAGAAGTGACAATAGGCTGGCTGGGTTTTGTCTCCTTTCCTCTGTATACATCCTGCATACAAACTTCATTTGTTTGCTTCCTGTGTGACATTTGCTGCCTCAGGACATTCAGATCTAATTTACAGAATCACAGAATATGCTGAGTTGGAAGAGACTCACAGGGGTCACTGAATCCAAGTCCTTGTCCTTTACAAAACCTTCCCCAGTTATATGATTATGTATTCAAATAGGAGCTTGTTTGGTGAACAGGCAATGATCTTTTGTAAAATACATTTTTAAAAAAGTCATGATAGCACCACGCCTTCACTTACTGCCCTTAAAGGCTATTAGATATTTATTCATAAATTTTACTCCTGCAGAGTCAGGGACAAATTAGATGTTTGTTATCCTCTTGTTTTCTAAATTATTCTCCCAAGCACAATCTGTAAAACTCTGAACACCAACAGACACCCCTCAAAACTTATCCCAAAATATTTATTCCTTTCCTGTCAGTGGGAAAGGTTGGGATTCTAACAGTGTTCACTAGAGGAGACTTGAGAATCCTCAGGCAGGCTGCAAGGACCTTCATGTCCGTCTGTCTTGATGCAGCTTTTGGCTTGGCTCCAGCTCCAGCAGATCCCTTGTGCTGCTAGTGCAGAGGCAGTGGAGGCTTTTAGCTCCATTGGGGTTGGAATGAGGCAGCTAAAAAACCTGGCACACTGGAGTGAGACAGGGGGAATGTATTCATAAAGCAGGTCTGCTGCTGGGATGCTTTGAGTGTGGTTTTGCCCCATCTTGTTTAAACCTGCTTCTCCTCTCTTCAAAAGATGCTGTGCTGGCTTGGCCATCCTTAGTTGCAGCTTCAATGTATTCAGCCAGTATTCTGGGCCTTTTAATTTATCTGTATTCATCTGTATTCATCACTTAGAATTAATTTTATTTCCACTGAGGTGTTTAAAATGTGTAATTTTTTAAAGACAGCAGCTATGTGTGCATTACATATATCTATGCAAACATCCGCTTTTCATTTTGCTGTAAAATTACAATATTGAAGCATGCAGAAGGAATTGCTGCTATCTCTGTTCACAAAAGATATACAAATAGTCACTTCATTAGATGTCACTGCTGGTTTTACTTCTTTATAACAAAGGGTCAGTTCTGTGCATTCAGGATGGAAATTGTTAATTGAGGCTGGGAAAGTGTGCCAAGGCTAATTAGGATTGTGTGCTGAAGTTAATATAACCCATAACCATTTCCTATATGACTGTGTGTTAGAAGCACTTATTTGCAAATTTGGTCCACATTAAATTGCAGTTCGTTTTTCTACACAACTTCAGAGTAATTTAAAACTGTCTTTTTAAGCATTCTGAGTAATAGTTCTCAGGTTAGAAGTGGGAAATGTGCAAATGTCATTCTCCTCATCAGGTCTTCATGGCTTAATTTCGTATGCCATGCTAGATTAGTTGCTTTATACGGATTTATATGTTTTATATTGATTTATTTGTGAATATGAAGTTACTGTAATTCAGTAACTTCATATTCACAAATCTGGGTAAAACCAAGTTCACACTTCCCCAAATTCTGTGTTTTCAGATTATTACAAAAAAAAATCCTACTGTCATCTACAGCTTTGGTTTGGTAACAAGTGGCTGTGCCTTCTGGGTATTGTATTGCAGGACATCATCACAGAGAGGTAATTTGAGCACACATAAACAAAAAGCAGCCTTTTATTTTTAATATAATACAAAAGCATAAGAGCACATCCTTTGGCTGTTGTCATGATGTGCATATGTGCATCTTCTTACAGTCTTAATTCAAGACTTAAGTGGTTCCAATTTTTCTTGCTTTCTCCTAAAATTAGACTAGCTTTTGAAGTACAAAGTTTTAATGCAGTTTTAATTCATTTTAAATGTTAGTTTGTCAATGCTTACCCGGTGTCTTCACATACATGGGGTAATTTATTGCTTTTGAAAAATCTTTCCTGTTTTATTCTAATTTATACTTCCTGGTTCACTCAAAGATTTAAATAGCTGAGGTAGAGGAGTAATTTCTCAAGTCTTTATTTTCATTATAGAACATTTTTCTGGTGACATTTAAAAAGGGTCAAATGGTTTGTGTGTGTTCTGTTTACATTTTTACATTTATAAGTTTGTTTGTCAGTTCAGTAACAGCATGTGTGATAATTAGAGAATCTGAGTTTCTAAGCTTTTCTGGGTCTTAATTTGCATTTGGTAGAGGTGTTGACAAACATCCAGAAATTTACTATCTTTAGGGTAATGCTTTAGATACTGATAAAATAGCACAGTGAAGTGTTTCTTGCTGCAAGGGTCGTACTGTATAAACTGTTTTTTCTGGCACGAGGCAGGTGTTCCATCTTCATCAAAGCAGCTGCATTTAGACCTGTAGGCAATTGAATATCTATGTGTTAAGTGTGGAGTTAAAATAATGAATTAAAGTTGTCCTGGGGGTAGTTGTGATGTTCAAAATACGCAGTGGTAAGAGCTTTTGTAGTCCTTGGGAAAGGATGAGGCTGGTGTTACCTTTTTGCAGGAGAAAAATTACTTTTCTCATGACTGACTGATGAACTCCTTCAGAAGGCCATGTGATATTTCTTCAAATTCTTCAAGCTCCATCTTGTGAGTTTTTTTTAGAGAACTGCAGATCAGTGGCATCTCCAAATAGCTATATTTATTATGGTGTGTATTTTATACACCACCTACTTTTCTTTTTCACAAACAGAATCCTGGAGGTGCAGCCCTGTTCCTCAGTAGTTGCTACAAATTCTAAGGCCACGTCATAGTCTGTGTTTCATGATATGTTTTTATTTTTGGTTTATCAATGAGTGTTAATGTTAAATCTGGAAATAGAAACTGGGGAAGTTGACACTGTACAAACTCAGGACATGGAAATATTGTAAAAATTGTGCACAAATATAATTGTATTCTGAATATATCTTTCAAACTTTATTCACTTAAATGCTTATTTTATTTTTCCTTTTGTACTAACTAGCATATTCTTCCATTTCAGAATGTATGAAAACATGTCCACAATGGTGTATTTAAAGGAAGAGAAGTTGGAGAAGCTTACTCAAGATGAAATCATTGCCAAAACTAAGCAAGTGATTAATGGACTAGAGGCACTGAAGAATGAACACAATTCAATTTTACAGAGCTTACTTGAAACTTTGAAATGTTTGAAGAAAGATGATGAAACTAATCTGGTTGAGGAAAAATCAAACATGATTCGAAAGTCACTGGAAATGCTGGAGCTTGGCCTTAGTGAAGCACAGGTAAAGTTGTGGTAAAAATGAAGCATTTCAGACATTTCTCCCCAGATATTTGTGATATGCTGGGGCATTTATATTATTCTTGGATATAATGGACAAAAGCTGCTGTAATTAATAGAGGTAGTTACTGTGCATCATGCTGTGTTACAGAGCTGATTATGGGGGTGGTGTTAAAGCATTTGTGACTGGGCTCCCCTTGACATCAGTGGCATTCAGTCTAAACATTTTCTGTTTAGACTTTCCACATCAGGCATTAGGCAGGTAATGTTCAAGCAGCTCAAGAACTGAGCAGTGGCATTTTAACTCTAAAAGATGGCATAGAAAGGTCTCAAACAAACACACATATAATAAATGTATTTTCTCCAGCCTTTGAGCTTTGGTGTAGCCTTAAATTCATGTTTATATTCCCTTGACTCAGATTTTTTTATAGTAGCACATGATGCTTTTAAAGCTTAAGAATCTCTAATGTTTATTGAACATTTTACTAAACCAAAATTGAAACTAAAAGCATTTTAAAGTTTAAGACTTGAGTACAGAATCTGAACAACTTTGACTGATGCATTAAAGAGAGGAGTCTGAACTAATTTCTGTGGACTCTTAGCTGGTGAAGATACCATCTGCAGAAGATAAGTGAAAAGTTGTGTGTTTATTGGGTTGTCAGGACTATATTTATGATATTCTGTACTAACTCAAAAACCTGAAATGATGTGATTTGACAGTCATCCCTTTAAAATAGGAGAGTGTTTGCAAATGAGTTGAGAGTGCTAGTGAGTGAGTTCTACATTAATAGGCTTTCTGTTGGTCTGTAACTGTGCTCAGGCTTCTCTTCTGGCCTGAGCTGTTATTGTGTGCTGATCTGGAAGCTATGTGCATTGGATCATGGTGAATTGAGGCTGAGAGAATGAAATGTGGGTTATCAGGCAGGGGAATGTAGAAGCCCTGGACAAATTGTATATATTGTACACTCTTTGGTGCCTTGTGTAGGAGGAAAATGCTGGAAGATACATGGAGTAAAATTGCAATAGTTGAGTTACCTGTAATGTTTGTTTGTAGATGTGCAAGTGAATGAGTAACTTCTGTGTAGTATTAGGACTGTGAGAAGCCAGTTCTGAATTTTACTCTATCAGGAGCCTCAGTTGCAGATGTTCCTGCCTTGTTTGCCTCCCATGGTACTTTGTGAACTGCAGTGCTGAGGAGCCAAGAAGTCTGCATTTGCTGCCTTTGTTAGGGAGCCAGTTACACTTCAGACTGCTGCTCTCAGACCTGATAAGGCTGCTCCTCCTGAATGCTTTGAGTTGTAACAATGTAGTATTTTTTTTTTTTTAATTTTTAAATTTAAGATAGGGAAATAGATTTTTTTTTTTTTGTGGCATGCATGTAGGTCTGGTGATGTGATATTTCCATGAAAATGAAACTAACTTTGCTAAAGAAGTAATCAGACTTTTCTTTCAGATAATTCTAGTGAGTAAGATTACAAAATATTTTAGTTTGCCATTGTAGCTTCTTCAGTGTTTGAATATGTTGACTCTATTATCACAATTTTCCTAAATATGCTTTCTCATTATATAAATGCCACTGTTTGAATTGACCAAGTAATTAAAATATTAGAAAAATTTTTAATATGTAAAAAGGTACATGGAATCTGGAGCTTTGGACTGGTATTAGGAAATCATACCTGGAGTTTTCCTTACCTTTACAGGAAAAATTAGTTTCTAAAGGCTTAATGAACATTTTGACACCTGAAATTTCAGCTAAGGACACAATCTGTTTCATATTAAATACTTAGTTTAAAACCACTTAAAGATAACTTTGTTTTTAAAAAAGACATGAACTTGAGGTGATGAAATACAAGTAACTTGGGGATGTGTAGATTTGTACTCTCACCAGTGGTCCACTCTGGCAAGGTGTGCATCCTGGGACTGCTGCCAGCTGTTCTGCATGTGTCAGTGGGAGATTGCATAAACAGTGAAGGGAGAATATCTTCTGCTGGTAGTGTTTGGCTTTCTCTTAATAAGCTCCTTTTTCATTTAACTTTACTCAGCAAAAAAAAAAAAACAAAACCAAAAAAATCCCAACCCAGTCCAAGTAAGCTGCTTTTATGGGTGTTCTGTTTTTTGCCCTTAACGTGACTGTGTTTGAAAGTCTGCACACTCCAGCTTATGGTTAGTAGTATAAAATGCATCTATAAATTGTGTGTTCAGTTGCACATGAAAATCTCAGTGAAATAAATATCCCTTTGAAGTGTTACCATTGTGCTGAGGTGTTCAATTTAGGAGATCTAAGCATGTATACAAATCCCTTTTTTGTCTGGAAGGTGCTAAATTAGAACTCTGTGTCAGGTTTTGGGTTATTTTTGTGATCCTGCAAGTTGAATGTATTACTGCTCCATTTTATGTTAGTGGAACAAAGATTTCCAGTTCAGTAATCTCGTTCAAATTTTTCATGTATTTTAAGATTATATTCAATATTCAGGGAATTCTGAAACAATTTTAACTTCTGATAGCATCGTGGAAAACAATTATTTAGTAAAGAGTTCCTCTAGGTTGGGACCCCAGCAAGAGAAGGACAGGGACCTGTTGGAGCAAGTCCAGAGGAGGCACAGGATGACAAGTGGGGCTGGAGACAGGCTGAGAGAGGTGAGAAGAGAAAGCTGCAGGGAAATCTTAGAGCCCCTTCCAGGGCTAGAAGGGCTTACAAGAAGAGGGGCTTTGAAAAGTCATGTAGTGATAGGACAAGGCAGAATGGCTTCAAACTGAAAGAAAGTGGGTTTAGATTTGATTTAGGAAGAAATTCTTCCCTGTGAGGATGGTGAGGTAGGGGAACATGTGCCCTATCTCTGGAAGTGTTCAAGGCCAGGCTGGATGGGGCTTGGAGCAACCTGGTCTAGTGGAAAGGTGTCCCTACCCATGGCAGGAGGCTGGAAAGAGGTGATCTCAGAGGCCCCTTCCAGCCCAAATCATTCTAAATGGTAAAAAGGTTTAGAGGAAAAGTGAGAACCATATCTAAAATGAAGAGAAAAAGAAATGTTTACCAGATTTCACACCTGACACAGGTTTAAATAATGGAAGCCTTGTATGTTGTGAACAGGACTGCATTCTAGGGGAAGTATGCCATGTGACACATTCTGCTTTTCAGGTAATGATGGCTTTGTCAAATCACTTAAATGCAGTGGAATCAGAGAAGCAGAAGCTGCGGGCTCAGGTTCGCCGGCTGTGCCAGGAGAATCAGTGGCTGCGGGATGAACTCGCCAATACCCAGCAGAAACTGCAGAAGAGTGAGCAGTCTGTGGCTCAGCTGGAGGAGGAGAAGAAACACCTAGAATTCATGAATCAATTAAAAAAATATGATGATGATATTTCACCATCAGTAAGTACCTCCATAGTAAAACAGTAAAAACACCTTACATTTACACATGTTATAATCTGCCTATTTAACAAGAAATAACAGATCTATTTTATTTGTCCCTTAGATGTATTTTTCATTAAACTACTACCTTGTACTAGTATGACATAGTTTGCAGAATGATTCTGAGAGCTCGTTCTTATTTTAAGAGAGCATATATTCTACTGTCTGCAGATAATAAAATACATGAGGAACAGAATTGATAAATGCTCATTTAGTAGCTTAAAAATATGAAGAACTGGGCCAAAGCAAAAATCTCACTTCTATAAACTTAGCAGTAAAAATAAGTGAGAAGTATTAGCTGTGAGACATTTTACATACCTAGAGGACTTGGCTCATTTTGACTGCAGGAAAAATACTTCATTTTTGTCTTGTGAAATCACAGCTTTTGTATCTGTTGAGAATTTACACAAGGTTAAGATGTTATTGAATCCCCTTTCAGGACCATCTGCCACACACAGTAATCATCTGCATGTATACAAGCCCATTGTGTTACATATTCTTAGGTTCAGAGAGAAAATGGACACAGCTTTAATTTACAGAAGGAACTTACTGCTTAAAAAGACTTCTGATTTATTTGCCCTTCATTTTTTACTTTTATTTGGCTTCCTTAGGTTAGGTGGCACTGTAGAGAAAGATCTAATTTTGTGTGTTCAGATCTTCTCAGTGGTGACTTGGAAAGTGCAGTTTTTCAGCAATTTTAATGGTTGAAATGTTTCAGCAATTTTAATGGTTGAAAATGGGTGTGATTTACTCATGCTTAACTGACTGCTTGACTAATCCTTTTTAAAATATTGTACATTATGAGAGTTGTTTTGGTCAGTTGCACCTGGAATTTTTTCCATTATTTGATATTTGTAGATGGATTTGCCAGTGAAGCCTGCTCAGAAAAGGGGCAGAGGAGGGAATTATTGGGATTGTGATGTGCTATATTGTCAGACTGTACTCTGCAGATGAATTAAATAGCTTCATTATTTGAAGTTTAATTAACAAATAGAGTCCAAGTAAGCCAAGCATCTTTATAGTTTTGCTAACCATATGGACAGTGTCTGCTTCAAGCCTTTGTAATAGTTTGTTGTATAGACTCAGTATGAGGTTGGAGTCAACATTTAAAATTATGAACATCTTATCTGAGATGTAGTCCCATTAATTTGCTGCTTTTACAGTGCCCTTGCTGTGCCATCATTGAATTTGAATGCCAGCAGCAGCAGTTGGCTTTTTCTCATCTGTGGAAAAAGGTGTTGATTGGAGAGACAGAAAAATGTGTTCTGCCTCTGGGTTTTCTCCTTACTGAGCTTATCCTTTCTGAGAACTTCAACTATTTATATTGTGTAGGCTCAGTATTTAGGAAACAGGATTGAGGGATGATCTGTCTCTTCATTTTATAGTTGAAATTATATGTAGATGCTTAAAATCATTTTAAACTGATGGATTGTGTAGAAATTAATATGGTTCCAGATGGAGACTATTGGAAATTAACTGCCTTTCAAGTGTTCTTGTTTTGTTTTTTAAATTTTGAACCTTCCAGACTATAATTGCAAAATCTAATTATTTGTACAGAAGTTGAGTACTCAGAAATTGAGATCTCCTTATTCCTCTCCCTTGCCCAGCTATAACTGTGATTATGACTGAGAAAGGTACCATGGACAGTTCTGTAGTGAGCAGTGCTTTCTCTTCAGTGGGTGCTTTCATGAGACCTAGTGCCTCTGTGAGAATGGCAAATGTGTTCTTGTGTGCTCAAATTGAGACTGAAGTCTAGGAGACCTCATTTCTATTCCTGGCCCTTCTGAAGCTGTCCTGTATTGTTTTGGGGCAGTGTGTAAATACATTAAAATATAAGACCTACCTTTATAAAACTTCAGTGAGAAATGTTATTCCTGTCACTTCTGAATGTGGGGTTTTCCTTTAACATTGCTGGTTAATTGGCCTGCCCTCTTTTGCCTTAGATTTAATTTGTTGGGTTTGGGCTTGTTCTGCAGGAGGATAAAGATTCGGATTCCACCAAAGAGCCTTTGGATGATCTGTTTCCCAATGATGAGGATGACCAAGGACAAGGAAGTAAGTGTACTTCAGACTACTTTGTTGGTGTGTTTCTGCAGTGCAGAATATAAAGATGCACTTTTAAAAAATGTTTGCTTCACCATTCCACTGCAACACAACTGGAGTGATGAATGCCTCTGCTAGAATAAGGAATCCAAAAATTGATATACATTCTGTACATTGGTGTGTACAGAACTGGGGCTTAGGTTTTTTAGAGTTTACTAGGTGCTGTAAAGTTCAAAGTGATTTAAATTCAGAATTTCTCCTGTTATCCTTCTTTGGGTTCTCAGAATGGTTAGTTGCAAGTGACTGAGGCAGATTCTAACCAGATAGTGGATTCTGTTTATGACCTCTTAAATTATCTGATTTGAGATTTTTGTGGCAGATTTCAGTATGAAATCTTTTTCATATAGTCTTTTGTCCTTTCTAAGATTGTCTGCATTGGTTTTAGTACTAATTGTGGAAGCATTGTTTGTCTTCAGGTGAGCAGGACTGAGGAATATGCTGTGGAACTTGAGGCAGATGTTTGGTAGTGTGACTGAATAAAGCTCTTGGTAGATAAGTAAGCTCTGCTTAGTGGAATGTGGTATTTGTATGTTTGTTAACAGAACATATTGATGTTGTGGAGTCAGTGTAGTGTGATGGGAGCAGAATGGTTTTTACCAGACAAATGACTTGAGGGAAAATGTCTTAAAAATGTCTCTCTTAAAGAGACCCACCTTTGCAATCAGCAATTTCAAGTTTCCTTTATGGGCTTGCATACAAGGTACACTGCATTCTTGTCAGCACATAGTCAGCACTGAAGGGAAGGCCTGAAGGGTTTGCAGCAGGTCAGTGTTGATCATGAGCTTCCTTACTTCCCCAGAATTTTGTAGTTGGAAGGTTGAGAGGCAAAGCTCCCTTCTCTTTACAAAAGACAAAGTTGACATGTCAGTGATTTCTCTGACCTTCCACAAAAATGCTGAAATTCTTCAGTGGTTTGGCAGGCAGTGACTCTGGGTATAGGCTTGGACTTGTGTGATTCCACTGTCATAAAAAGGCTTCCACTTTCTGTGAGAGTGGTTTTTGCTTAATAGAAAGGAGAGAATAAAGCCAGGCTCAGAGAGTGATAAACTTGTTTTCTAGAGTTTAATGAAAATGAACAAGACAGAATATTCTAAATCTCAGAAATTGGTCAGGTGAAGAGAAAAGGAGGCAGTAGGAGAGTAAGGGTTTTTGGGGGCAATAGGAGAGTAAGGGTTGCAACAACCAAAGGTTAGGAGCTACTGGAAAATAAATGGCTAAGCTTGAGGGTTAGTCAGTAAAACTTGAAGGTTGACTTTGACTCAGGGCCTTTTGTCTTGCAGCTGTTTTTTCTGGCATTGAAGGTGTTTCAGTCCTTTATTGCTAATCTTAAGTGCTCCTTGGCGTAGCAAACAAAGGGAAACAAAAAAAGTATGTTTATAGAATAAAGGAGAAAGCTTTTCTGCAGATATTCAGCTTATGTATGTTAGTGTTCCTTGTCACATGAAAACAGCAATATTTGTAAGTACAAAATTATTATATAATCTTGAGAATGGTTTGCTGAGCCAAAATAGTTTCCTGCTTTCTTCATTAGTTTATTACATTTAGCCCTTTGAGCTATGAGAACTGTAAAAATAATAGTAATACAATACTGGACAGCATATGAGGAATAAAACAATCATACTTCCACTGTCACTATTGAAGACAGCCTGACTGCTGTGACCCTATGCTCTAATGCTAATTCTGTGTATTGAAGAAATAAAATTCAGTGAGTCTCTTTTTGTACCACTGAGCACTCAAGTGAGATGTTTTATTTACAGTCATCTTTTACACAAGTTGAAATTTTGTGGATTTCTTTCAGTTCAACAGCAGCACAGCAGTGCAGCAGCTGCTGCCCAACAAGGGGGCTATGAAATTCCAGCAAGGTTACGGACCCTACATAATCTTGTTATCCAGTATGCTTCCCAAGGGAGATATGAGGTTGCTGTGCCTCTCTGTAAACAAGCTCTTGAAGATCTGGAGAAGACTTCAGGTCATGACCATCCTGATGTTGCCACTATGTTGAACATACTTGCTTTGGTGTACAGGTTGGTATACTGACATAACTAAGTAATTATTTCACTGGTATTTATCTATTTGGCTACAACCTTTTAATGTTCAGACTAGAATTTTTTCCCTGTTCTAGTTTCCTTTTTAAAATTATTATTAAAACCCTCAAGAAGTTCCTGAAATATTTGTATGTCGCCCTATACTTAAAAGTCGAACAATTGTTGTATTTTTGCCTATACCTTTGCTTTGGGAATGAGGCTGGCTTTGATTTTTGGTTTTTTTTTTTTGTCTACTTAGGGGACATGTCTTGATTACCCACTTCAAGGTAATCAAGAGGGTGGGACAGCAATGTAGAAATGGTACATGCTCAGTATAGTCCTCAACTATTAAACTATTTACAGTTACAGGCTTCAGGATTCTACTTCCTAATTTATGAATATATTCTCAATTATTCTTTAATAGTAGCATCTTTAGGTCAGCAGTGAATTCAGCTTAATTTTAAGGATTTTTCATTCCTGAATCCCCAGTGTTAATTACATCTCTTTACAATTCAGAGACCAGAACAAATACAAAGATGCAGCAAATCTCCTGAATGATGCCTTGGCCATCCGTGAAAAGACTTTGGGCAAAGATCATCCAGCGGTTTGTATACTTGCAATAGCATCATTTTAGTTTGTTTTTCACTCAACTTTTTATCAACTAATTCTAATATCAAACTCAACAGGAAAGGTTGTAAGACCTGACTTGTCTTTAAACAGTACAGGTAGGAGGCCACATTCTATTCGCTGCTGTTTCACCATAAATAATTTGCCCATACTTGATTTTGGATTGCCTGGATTTTTTGTGAGAAATCAATTTGTGAAGAAAGATTTTTGCTTACTCAGATCTCTTTACTATACTCAGATTGAAGGGGCACGTCTGGTTTCATTTACTGCTGCTTGTAAATGAAATGTAAATCAAGCATTTGGAAAATTCATGTGATACTGTCGTGGCCTGGGGGATGCAGGGCAGCTCAAAGTGTAGATGTGAGAGAAGAACATGTGAAGATGTGTGCACTAAAATGACATTTCCACAAAGGAAGCAAAATTACTTCATGATTTAGATTTTTCTTTCCTCTATTGTGTATGTATGCATTTAATAATAATTATTTCTTCACTTCCAAATTTCAAGAGGTCTATCCTGTGCATGGAAAATTTAATAACATCAATGCCTTGCAGATATGCTCATTTGTCAAGTATTTGTATCAGCACATTTCAGTGCACTTAATGTTTCTCTGCTTTTGACAGGTGGCAGCAACTCTTAACAATCTTGCAGTACTCTATGGTAAACGGGGGAAGTACAAAGAAGCAGAACCTTTGTGTAAGCGAGCTCTGGAAATCAGAGAAAAGGTAGGAGTGACAAATACAGAGCCTCTAAAGGGACTTTGGGAAGGAGAAAGCAAAGTTAAATGCTTACTTTTTTTATGCTTTGGTTGGGTAGATCTGTCAGATAAACCCCAGGGTTAACAATGCCTAGTAGTTAGGAGTGTCTGAAATTGAAAACAGTAGGAAATTCCAGTAGTGCTACGGAATTGCTGGAGCACTCTGGGTGTATGCTAAAATTCTGTATTTTGTGAGAAACTTCTTTACCTTTTTCCTTCCTCTGTGATAGCCAAATAATTGATTTGACAAGAGCATTGGAATTAAAAAATTAAACTTAGTTAAATTTTTTAAGTTGATTATTCTCTATGTGGATATCTGTTTTATTCCATGAGACTGCATCTTTTGGTTTATATAAATAATAATTTCCCTATAATATTGTTTTACTACTTACTTTGTTCCTCTTATGGATTGTTCTGCATCATTCTCAGTTTGCAATAGAATTGAGTCATTTTCATATCTTTGAAATGCAGCTTTTGCTTTTGCTGAGTTGAGGAGGAATAAAACTAACAGGATGTTTCTGAATGATTTATTTCTAGACCCTGACGTGATGATTAGAGAATGTTTTAATACAGTGTATTTCATTTCCAGGTCCTGGGGAAAGATCACCCTGATGTTGCCAAGCAGTTAAATAACTTGGCTTTGCTATGCCAGAACCAGGGTAAATATGAGGAGGTTGAATATTACTATCAGAGGGCACTTGAAATCTACCAAACTAAGCTGGGACCAGATGATCCAAATGTTGCAAAAACAAAGAACAATCTGGTAAGCCTTTCCCAAAGTAAACCTGAGATAAAATTTCTCATTAATTGAAATGCACTTCTATCCACAATGTATTGTATTTCTTGTTTATACAGACAAATAAAGCAGTGTGCTGATATCTTTTGGGGGTGTTTTGTTTTTAGGCATCCTGCTATCTAAAACAGGGCAAGTTTAAGCAAGCGGAAACTTTGTACAAAGAGATTCTTACTCGTGCTCATGAACGGGAGTTTGGCTCTGTAGATGGTAAGAAAATGAGTCCCTAGATTTGAATTTGTGTTTTATTTTTATAGTTATGGAATAAAATTTGCAAGAAGTCAATAGAGTCCTGATTAAGATTGTTATGTGCTTTTAGGTGGACTTAAAAGGTGAGCTGTGAGTGATAGATGTGTTGGAGGTAACATTCATTATAAGAAGGCTTTTAGATACAGCAGCAAACATTTGATTCAAAAACATGAGGTAGACTGAGTGGGTTTATGTTTTATGGATTTTGTTTCTGGCCTAATTTATCTTACACCCCACTAAACCCAACTTTGGTATTTTTATAGAGGCAGAACAATGTACATCACTTTCCAGTCACAGGAAAAAGTCAATGCAGGATTTTAGTGACATAAATAAAGACATTGTTAATGCAAGTTCCCCATTAACATATTTAAAGAATGGGGAAAATACCTTTGAATTGAGGGAATGGGGAAAATACCTTTTGGTATTTTTGGTATATTAATTGGGAAAATACGTTTAAATGGAGAATTACACTGTACATTGAAGTCATGTGCATTTTATAAACCAAAAATCCCACTAAAGCATTTCCACTGCATTCCATATCAGTAGCATATGCACCACTTAGTAGATGACAGAGTAGTTGTTAGGATAAAAGAAATAAATTCATGTTCTCTAGCTCAGAACTAGACACATGACAAATGGGTGACAGTGTATACTTACTTCAAAGCTTCTCAGAAGTAACTGTTTCTAAGTTCAGATAAGAAAGAGACAGAATTGTAAAACTGTAAAAGAGCTCTGTGTTTCATTTATCTGCTGCTTCTGTATGGACAGTAAGGTTTTTTTGCAACAATAGTATAATTCCCTGGTTCTCAGCTTCATTTCAGAGTAGTGAAAATACAACAATCAATACCTTGTAGTTTTGTTCTTCTATAAAATACTTTTCTTGTTTCACCAGATGAAAATAAGCCTATCTGGATGCATGCAGAAGAGAGGGAAGAATGCAAAGTAAGACTGTTGTTGTAAATCTTCTTTGGAGCTTATATTTGTTTAGGTTGCAAATCAGGTATTTTTTTCAACTGTACCTTTGTTCTAGGGAAAGCAAAAAGATGGCACATCTTTTGGAGAGTATGGGGGCTGGTACAAAGCTTGCAAAGTTGATAGGTGAGTAACTTCTTCACAGGACAACTCATTAATGCTCAGTGTCTCAGATTAAAGCATTTTTAAAAATGGAACCAAAGCAACTCCTTGGTTAGCTCTGTAAAAAGGAAAGTATTAAACATTCCAGGCCCAGGACTGGTTTTCAGGAGTACAGCAGCACTTTTCAAGTCGTGAGGCTGCTCAGATGCAGTGACATGAAGTTGCCCCAGTTGTGTTCTTGGCAGTCCCTCAGGTAGCAGCGTGGGTCACCTTTCCCTCTGCTCCCCTCCCTGCACCTTTAGATACACAGCTGGCACAGAAAACAAAGATAAACTGCCACAACTAAGCATTACTTGAGTTTGTAAATCTTCCAGAATGTAGTTGTGTGAATGACAATGTATGCTTTAAAGTGAAATAAGGGAAACAAGGATTTCAGCTTGGATTATAGTTGGTGAAATTTTTGTTTTTGCTCTAATTTTGTTCCATTACTGCAGCTTTTTTAACATGTAAGTGATGCAGTGTATGAAAAAACCTGCAACCTGTACTGATAGTCAGTGAAAATTTTTTGTTTATTGAGTATTTGAATGCTCATGTTTAACAAAAATCAGAGCTCTTGTACTGTTGAAATCTCTTTTTTTTTCTCCATCCTGAGTTCTGTGTACAATACATTTTACTGGTTTGTTTTTCGTGTACTTGTTCCTTCTAATGCATGGGAAGATCTTTTCTCTCTTGTTAGTGGAGCAAAACTTCACTCAGATATGCTATGATTGAGCTAATTTTGTGCCATTGAAACAAAAGTGTCTTGAATATGAGACTTGTTAATGAAATGGGCAAATTTTTTGCTTTTCTTGTTCAAGCAAATTGGAATGCACAGAAACTGCAAATAGGTGTTAAGTAAAAGCTGATGAAAGCAGATGTTAATTGCTTTTGTGACTAACACATGCTACATGTGGTCTGTCTAATAGTCCATGCATGAATAAGCATTTATTTTGGAAGCTGCACAATTATTCAGTTGGATACACTCCTCTAGAGCTAAATTTTCACCTTGAGGTGCAGCTGAGGAGCACAGGGTTCTGGCATTGCAGTTTCAGGGATGTTGGCTGGTCACAGAGACACTGATAGGCTCTGAAAGGGGTCAGCAGGTTATTGTGTGTCCATGAGGTACAGTGTAGTGCATTACAAGAGAGAATAAATTATTACAAAATATGGCAAACACTGTATTAATTTAAGCTTTTATTAGTGAATTGAGAAGAATTTACTGTATGAGTATATATTTAACACAGAGTTATTTTTCTTTTCTCTCAATAGTCCAACAGTAACAACTACTTTAAAGAACCTTGGGGCACTTTACAGAAGACAGGGCAAGTTTGAAGCTGCTGAAACATTAGAAGAGGCAGCAATGAGATCTCGTAAACAGGCAAGTATGAAAATTCACCTTAATGATGTTTCTGCCTTGTGGTCATGCAGATTTTCAACTTCCTGTGTGCAGAATATAGAAAATTTCAGTGCCTGGTCACCCTCTAATTTCAGACTGAGCTGGTGATAAACTGATACATCTTAACACTTGCAGTTTGGTTAATTGTTAGGGCAGTGGCACCATGTACTGGGGACATGATTCAAACTGGAGGTGAAATTATGTGGAAAATGAAAGGGCAGAAAACATTGTGTTGGCCAGCAGTGCTCAATTAATTGGCTGCTTGTCCTGGGAAACAGACTGTAGCTGGGGGAAAATGGGGAGGTTCTGCTGGAAATCTCCTTTGCCAATCATGCTGTTCTATTTTTAATAAGGAGCTGTCAAGATTAAAAATGTTCAGTTGCTGCATACAACTGACTAACAGAAACCTTTTGTTACTTCTGTAAACGAATGAGATAAATATTACAGTTTCAGTGGGGACTTCCTTTTAATGTACTCTCTTTGTGCTCTCAGATCTACTCCTCAAGTAACTCTTTCTCCCTTCTCTTGAAAGGTAGAAGAGAGTTTGGGTTTGTTGGGGGTTTAATGGCTTTTTTTTTTCTTTCCCTTTTGGATGGTTGGATAAGTGACACTTATAAGACACCTTTATAAGTCTAAGACTGGACAAGAAAACTTGGGTTGTCAATTAGTGTTAAAATGGAAAGCAAAGTAAGAAAACAGAAGTAAATAAACATCATAAATGTTCAATTTTAATTTCATTTTTTTAATATGAGAATAAATAAGACTTGTATTTTTTTCTAGAAACTTGCTGCTGACTCTTTATTTTAGAGGATGTTTCAGAATTTCACTGTGCATCATATACCACCTCTTCCATTAATCCATAATAAATGGCAGTATACACACCCCTAGATTTATATGTAGGAGACAATGCTGTGTTACAGCAGCATTTAACACTGCCTTTTTATTCTGGGTCATTCAGGTAATGCTCTTCACTTAGGGAGAAACAGTTACATGGGAACAAGAAACTGACATCTCCATGCCACTAAAACAACTTTCACGCTTATTCATGCACCTTTAAGAACTTTGGCATCCTTTTCACTTTCTGTATTGTGGTTGGCTTTATGGATTTGCCACACACATCCCTGCTGCATTTGCTCTACTGTAGAAGATGCAGAATATTTTGTAAAGTGTAAGGCATTCATCTGGGATCTCTTCCTGTCAGCAAATACTGGTTATGATGTGAAGTAGGTTTATTATAAAGAAGACAAAACTGAAAAGAAGTATGATTTGAGTTTTGATATCTTCTAGTTTCTGTGTTAAGGAATTTGGCTTTAGTGCAGGGTTTTCATATAAGGTACTTTAGATATTAAAAGGATTATTTTATAATTGATAGGCATGCTTTAACACAAAGTTAATATATTGAATATATTGACCATATATTTAGTATGTTTATCACAAGTTTCTATTCTTTGTTGTTTCTTTCTGAAGGAAAATTACATTAATGCCAGGTGTTCTATGTCAGTATTTTTAAATAAAACAATGTGTTTCTGAGGTACTAGAGATTCAGACACCTTTCCAAAGGCAGGTGAAAACTGCACCATTTGATGGGTGGAAAACTTGAGAATTACATTGATGGGTCATGATCTGTAAGTTGCTCAAATATTTAGCTGGTTGCCAGATTGCTTCAGGTAAGTGGCACGAACACCACAAGGCTTAGACAAGTGATAAGAAAGGAAGAAAAGAAGGACAAGTCAGGAATTCTCAAACTGATAGACTGTTCCCTTGATGCTGTGTTGATCCTTGCAATTTAGAAAGGGCAGCTCAGCTGCTCTCCGGGAGCAGAACTGGACTGACGGAGTTGTGGGTTGGTTTTACTCCTTGCTCGGCACAGCTGTGTGTGTAAGTTGTAGCTTAACAGAGCTTGTAACAAGATAAAGCCTCTTCCCATTCTATCAAATTCTCAGGGTCTTGACAATGTTCACAAACAGAGAGTGGCCGAGGTGCTGAACGACCCCGAGAGCACGGAGAAGCGGCGCAGCCGGGAGAGCCTCAACGTGGATGTGGTAAAGTACGAGAGCGGCCCCGACGGCGGCGAGGAAGTGAGTATGAGCGTAGAGTGGAACGGGGTAAGTACAGTACACAGTTGCACCCTCTAGCTAGGAGCTCATCCCCTAACAGCTCACCAGCCTGCTGTGCTCTCAGGAGTCTCCTGCTTCATCTGCCTCCTAGGTTTTAATTTTGCAGAATCAGTTAAGAAATGAAGAATAACATTTTGTCTGTCATAATGCTAAAAAAAACTCATCATATTTAAAAGTTTTAAGCCATCCTTTCTGTTGCTGTCCTGAATGGTGATATTTCTGCAAGAATCCCAAGCAGTTGTATCTAAGGCCAAGTTGTGTAATGCTGATTGAGTGTCCTGGTTGTGGTCTGGTGTGCAATTGCTTGTCAGTGGTTTGTTTTTATGGTAGAAATATTCTTGCAATTAACTCACTTTTGCTTTTTTCCTTTTGGTGCCATATTTGCTTGTAATTTAAATGTTTATAAAAAAAAATACTCCCTCAGTTGGAATCACAAAAAACATTTCCTATGGAAATATAAAATTAGCAGTTTATTAGAAATATAAAGTTAGCAGTTTCAGAGTAAATGAAAATGACCAGTCTAACACTAAAATAATTCTAATCTCCTCCTTACCCAGCTTGCTGGAGGAAGGAGCTCAGCTTTCCAAAGTGCTGTACAGTCCATTTTAAGAGGCACTGCCATCACATAACAATGGGATGGTGACTTCATGGCTTTCTCATATTAAAATTTGTCTGGAGCCAGGGCTTGTTCCTATTTGTTTCCCATATATTGGCTTCACTGTGTTACAGATTGTCATAAAGTAAAAACATAGATATAATATATATATATATAATGTGATTACATGTGCATTTCTCTAACCATTGTTTTCCTTTCATTAGAAGGACAGTGCAAGCTTTCAGTTATTACCTGGCCTATGTAGTTTGCTTCTGTCACCAGCTTTCCCATGCTTTATCCCATTGCTGGCAATGGGATATATATTGCACTCTTAACTAACTCCCAGCTGCAGTTCTGCTGAAAATACTCTTAGATTATAAAAGTGGTGTTGCTTTTGCTGTGTGGGAGGGGAAGTAGCCTACTTTGCAATATTGAGTGTTCTGAAGCTTCATTTCTCTTACAATAGAAATCTGTTTCTCCCCAATTTTTTTGTAAGCCACATGAGACAAAGCTTAGCATTCCAAAGCAACCTTGAGAAAACATGTAGTGCTTTAGTCTCAAAGGAGAATGTTCTTTCCATCTTTGCTTTTGTCTCTTTATTACTGTTTTCTTGGCATTGGTGCTCTCAGTGCCAAGACAGTCAATCAGCATCTATTGTGAATTAATACTGCATCATTAATAAAGCCAAAGTCAGGTTGAATAACTTTCTTTTTAATTCTCATTTTGCCCATTCAACATTAGAACTGTGTACTGTACTCCTCCCCTAATTTTCACTATACTTTGCATGACTGTATATTCTAAATGGATTAAACTTTTTTTCTGTTGTGGACATTAATGCATGCAGGGTTTGGATGGAAAGGGCCTCCTGGGAAAAGCAATAGACAGTATTTCTAGGTCAATATTCGAATCAAACTCAGTGATAAAATTTGCTGGTCTGAAAAATTACATTTTGACATCTGAGAGTAATCAAACTTCATTTTTAGTGTGCTGAAGTGGCATTGCTTCATTCTCATCTTTGTTATTTCTTTTTCCCCCCCTCTTGAGAGAAGGTATTTTGTATTCATGTTCTACGTGAAGTGGGCAACTCTCTCTCCCTCCCCTGCAAGTGTTTCTATCTCAGTGATTTCTTTCCTCTTCTTTATATTGTGTAGTTTTTTTACCCTTGTGTGTTCCCTCCAGACAAAATACTCTGATTCTTAAAGTGGTGTAGGATCTTTTATTTGTGTCTGCAGAGCCTGAAGAGTGGCCTTTTCCATTTAAATTCTTTTGAAGTGGTCAGGCTGACTGAGAGAATAGGTGGAGTATGCAAGGGGACAAACTCCACAAAATTCTGTCAGAAGATGTAAATTAAGGTCCTTCCACATCTAATGTAATCCATAATAAGCATTGTAGGCTTTGATGTAATATTTTACACTCTTACGAAAGAACAGAAATCTTTGTTGAAGTAAATCAGCCAGTAATGATTAAAACAGACACATTGCAGTGAGGTGTTATGGTGCATCTTTATATGTCACTTTTAAAGTTCATGCCTTAAGGTGAACAGAAGATACTTGAAAATGCAAGGAAGTACTTCCTCTTAAAAATATAAAGTGGGAAGGCCCAGATTTGGATCTCTTATTATACTTTATATAAAAAATAACAGTGAGTACCTGTAACTGGCATTTTTTAACTGATCTGACAGCCTGCTGCAGGACAGATGAAAATCTTTGTGCTACTTATTAGAATGTTTGTAGTGTGAGGAATTATCTTTTCATAACTCCAGCCCTATGCTTCAGAGAGACAGGCTTTTGGGCATGTAAGTGCACTTCCAGGTGTGAAGGGAAAACTGTGGATTTCACTGCCACAGACAAGAATTACCCTTGTTTAAATAAGTGCCAGACAGAGAGATGTTGTGGCAGACAAAGTGCAGGAGGTGGTGATGGTAAGCAGCAGTAATAATGGGATTCTCATTCTGAATGACATAAAAATTGGCAATTAAAATTTGCCATAAAAACAGCTTGTGAGTTTGGTTTTTGTTTCCTCTGGAATCAGGAATGTTTTTTTTTTTATCCTGAGCTCATGTTTTAGAAGTGTTTTGTTAATCGAGCTGTAGTGTTTAACTTAGGAGTTTGATATTTTTATTTTTATTTGAGGTACCCCAAAGCTTGTCTGCTTATTCCTACTTTTCTAGTTAGCTTTACCATATAGAGTTATACTCTATACCTACCAAATTTGTCCTGCCTTTGGATCATTTTCACTACTCTAGTATTGCTAATTGCAAACCACAGGAATAATTAGCCTTTTCACTGATCCAGTACTCCTAACTGGAATTTTGGTTCAGTTTATTCAATCCTGTAAAGCTGAACTGTCTCTAAGTGTGAACAAGATATGCAATTTAGTTTGAAACATAAATAGTCAGATTTAGATCTTCTGATCACTTGGTAGCAAGGCATTTTGCCATTTGCAAGGATAATTTTAATTACTGTTTATTCCAGTTGCTATAGGCAAAGGCTCTCAAGACAGGTATCATGAACCTATCAGTAATGGTCTCTGTACTTGTACAGAGAATAAAAAGTGTGCAAGTTGAACCACAGTTCATTTTAAAGGTACATTGTTTCAGCTGCCTCTCATTGCATTAGGGACGGTAGAGAAAATTCCACTTGGATTATAAATATAGACACAAACACAGATATGTTCTAAAAATACTTGTGAAAGTGAACTGACCCAGGCCAGCTGGATTCTAGTTCCTTAAGGGAATGATGAGAATTTTGTCTGGAGGTTAGGTGAAGACCTCTTTCTTCTTGCACTTTTGTTTCAAGGAAAATTCCTGACAGAAGTTAAAGCTGAAATGAATGCACTTTGCTCTATTATTTTTCTTTTTTTATTTTGTTTTCCTTTTTTTTTTGTGAATGTCAGCTGAAAAAAAATCCTTTTTTTTTGTTTCTGAAATGCAATAGCAAAGCTATTTCTTGTTAAAGGTGTTTTGTATTTTACACAAATTCTAACTTGAATGCACAGCATCAGTCATGCTCATTTGTCAGTCCCATCTCAGTGATGTAGGTGAAACTGCATGAAGATGTAGGTTCTGGTAATTGCAAGGGCCTGCACTTTGTACTTAAGGGCTGTCCATATAGTTGCTCTGGAAAAAAAAAAAGTTTTGAACATGACCTAGAAATACTGTAAACTAACTGCTCAAAATTGAAAACTGTTGAATTTTTCCCAACAGTTTCATTCAGTTTTTCTCTCTCCATTTCTGACAGGCCTAGATGCCTTTTGTGATTCTTATACTGTCTCCTGCATGACGGGCGTGCACCATCTTCAAGCTTTAACTTCTCTCTTCAGTACTGACTGCTGTGTTTTAGCAAACCCCTTAAGATTCTTGTCAGAGCTACACTTCCCTGTAAACTGGCCATTCCTTCAGTGCTGGTGTCGTTTTTGGTTTTCTATTTCTGTACCTGTGTAGCTTTGCCAGATATGTATCTAGTCATACCAAATGTTATTACAACCATTTGCTGTGTAATACATTAGTAAAAAAAAAAACCAGACAAGTAACAATGACCTTTATAAGTAGCTGTTCACTATGGAATAAAGGTAGTTAAAAGTATCACACAAGGTATTATTGAAATGGCATGATGGTGATCTTTACAGGAGAAAAACCAAACCCGTACAAGTAAAGCATGTTCTCCAAGTGCTTTAAAATGTATTTAGAGACCTATTATATGGTTAACATCAATATGGAACTCTGGATGTCTTCACTTACAATTATTCTAAAGTAGCATTGCTGTTTAGTCTTTGTGTGAGATTTTGGCAATTATGCTTTTCTCTACTAATCTTGGTGTTCAGTGATTTGTGTATTTGTCTTTCTAACTTCTAATAAACTCACTCCAACTCAGGTGTCTGTCTTTGCTTAGTAGTGCTTTTTTCTTTTTCAACTCTTCTTTCATAATCACATAGGTTTTCTGTGGAGTAGGAAGTGGTCACTTCTAATCTTACTAAACTGTTGGGTTTTTTAAGAGTAAAACATTTAAAAATAGAATTGTGGTCACTCTGGGTCAGCACAGCAGTGTAAAACATGAATGCAATGTATGAAAAATTAATTTCATTGTGGTTTGTATGAAAAATTAATTTCATTGTGGTTTACTCTTTTGGTAAAAATTAAAAACTAAGCACAGGAACTTGACTATAAGTATCTCTGATCAGAAATATTTTTGTTTATGGATTTTAAGGTTAAACATGTTTGCAAGTAATGTAGATATGTAGAAAGATGATGGAATGCTTTTGCTTGGGGCTCCTACTCTGTAACCATGGTGTGCTCATATGAAATGGTGGTGGTGAATTGTTGGACTACTGTGGTGGGGCTTTATTAATGCAGAATTGTGGCTTGGGCATGTGTTCACATTTAGAAACCTGTGTTGCACTTTGGAAGGAACCCTTTTGATTTGGTAAAGTCGTAGCTGTATGGAATTACATGTTTAGGTAAATGTGTACAGTATAAGCATATATGAATAGCAATGAAAAAGTCATAATTGATCCCTGAGCTGTTTTCAGGGCGGGCTGGGGGAGGGCAGCAGCTCCTGCAGTTTCACATGTGTTCATTTCTTTCAGGATGGCACTGGATCCCTAAAGCGCAGTGGCTCCTTTAGCAAGCTCCGAGCCTCCCTTAGGCGCAGCAGTGAGAAGCTGGTTAGGAAGCTGAAGGGAGGAAATTCCCGGGACAGTGAACCAAAGAACCCAGGGTAATTCCTTATCTGCTCTTGGCTGTGCTCTGTCCCTTGCTCTGTGCCCCCCTGCAGCCCAGGGCAGCTCCTAGGGCAGTGTTCCCTTCCCTGCTTAGCTAGCTGCATAGCACACACAGCTGTGTCTTAAAGAAAAAATGAAATAGGAAATAACTCCTTAAGCTTCCAAACTTCCAAATTGTAAGTTCTGTAACATCTGAGGATTTATATTTGCTTGTAAGAATTAACTCTATTAATTTTTTTTTTTTTTGCTGCTTTAACTACTTGAAGATTAGAAAAGCTTCATAGAACTACTGATAAATGTTAATTACCTGCAAAACTATTCTTTTCACACAGCAGTGGAGTATAATAAATATTACTGGTTTTTACAGTAAAAGCCTGAATACACTAAACCTGCAACTAACATTCTTGATATAGCTTAGTGTCTTGATATATTCTTGATATAACTTTATATGTTGCTGTGAGCATAAAGAGAATTACCAACCGAAGCCCCTCTTGGTTTCTGTTTTTGGAAGACTCAGATGTCAGAGAGCAGAGGAGAAGTTGAAAAAACTTGAGCCTAGTTGTGCATCTTACTAACATTTTGGCTCCAATGAAATCTGGTAAAAATCCAGATTGACTGAGTGTAGCTGCTCACTCTTCCCAACTTGCCATATGATGATGGATTTTAATGTAATATTTCTTATAAATCCATAAAATCATTCATCACTTAATGGCTGCTGCAGAGAAGATGAAATGTTCAAATGTACCTGCTGCTTTTCATAGTGGCACTTCTGGGTGTTCCCCTCACCCCCAACACAATTGCAGCCCATTTTACAGGGTTTTTGCCCTTGTTGTGAAAAACTACAACTTATTTAGTTGACAGGAAGCTGACAGTGTGAATTTGTGCTTTAAAACAATCATATTGGAGAACTTGGGGCAGCTTCTAATGGAGCAGCTGAATCTGAGTAATGTAGATGATGATGATGATGGTATTAGTTAAGACAGTGACCTGGAGGCAGGGTCTCACTGTGTTTCTGGATGTGCTCCAGTGAAGTTTTGTCTTATTGCTTTTATGGCTGTAAAACATGAAGTACAGCAGCAGTACATGTAGAATTATCTTCCTTGCATATCTGTTTCAGATTCAGCCTGATCTGAATTTTAGAGTTGTTGCTTAAAATTTCACTGCCAAACACTTGATGTGGAAGGCATTGAATAGAATTGAAGGCCAAAATTCCTTTGCATTTATTGATACATTATTAAGAACTACCTCTGAGATAAGAGGTTGGGAAAAAACTATGGAAAGCACAAGATTAGAAGAATGAAATGTGTAAATGTAAAATGCTTTAGGGAAAACAAAGGCAACCCAATATAGAATAAAAGGGAGATTTCTTCTTTTTCTGCAGTATTAGCAGCTTTATACATTGGTTTTCTGTTTCTATTCCATTTTGTCCAGAGTTCATACATCACAGTTCGGGTGTGTTGTTGTATGAATAGATACATTTATCCATAGCTGAATTGGCATTTTCTCCTCATTTTTGTGAGATGTGGAAAGGCTTTCAGTTTCACAAAAGCCAGGAGGTTTATTCCTTATTCTTTATAGTATTTATAGCTAGCTCTTTCTGCAGGTAAATAACTCCATGTTTTGGGTGCAGAAAATGATGCTCACATAGAAGTGGAGATGTTTGGCTTTGCAGTGCCTGTGGGAGCTCCCCTGCCCTGTCACTGTGTGCTCCTGGGTTGTGTTACCTGGGCAGAGCCCTCTCCCCAGGCTGACACGAGTTACACCCTGGGCTCTGCAGCACCAGAGGAGATTCCCTCACATGGAGGCATTGATGTGAAACAAAACTGAAAGCAAAGCTGTATCTTCCTTATTTTCCCGTTCTGACAAAATTATCTTGTTTTTAGCTGTCACCATAGTTCTCAAGGAATAAAACTTACAATAAGTGTATTATATTGCCAGGCTTTTCTGTAGATAGGCACTTCCAGTGTATAGAACAATAAATACTATAATTTCTGTTCTTGTAGTAAACAGAGTTTTTAAATCCTGATTTATATTAGCTGGTTTTAATAACAGATGCAGAAACTTCTGGTATTAAACACCAGCTTTGTAGGTCATGAAGCACAGCTTACATATTGGTATTCCAAAAAATCATTTTGATTTCATTTTGTGAAGAAACTTAAATGAATAGAATTATTTTTTTTCTTCCTCTGAGTGTAGCAAAAGGCATATTCAGTTGTTACCATGCAGACCTTTGGGTTTTAGTGTGTTTGACAGGTGAATATTTCAATACAGACATAGCACACCTATAAATCTTCCTTGCTGTGGAGGCAGCCACTCCAGGCAGAGCACTCCTGTGCCTCCCTCCTCACCAGGGCATTCCCTGCCTGTGTCTCGAGGAAGGCTTTATTAGAACTCTATTTACACCTCTTGTTTGTGCTCTGCTTCTCTAAATAGCAATTGACAGTGCTGGTGTGAGCACTGAGTGAGAAATACTTGGATAACAATGACTCCCAGGATGAAGGAAGGACTTAGTGTCCATGTTGTTACTTGATACACAAGGTTGAAGAGAACGAAATGGAAAACTCATCAGGGAAATTGTTTCTTTGCAATCCTACAAATGCCTTTTTTGACAAATAAGTATCTTAAAACTGATCTTTGAAACATGCAATACCTGAAGCAAGGTATCAGTTCTTTAGAGAATTCAGTTCTGTAATAATTTAACTTTGATTATTTAGTGTTCTTTATTTTGTCACTTCAAAAATATTGACCACACAGCAGAACAATTAAGATCTCTAATCTAAAAGGAAAAAACAAGCTTTCATTATTGCTATTACTTATGCACAAAAAAAATTCCTGCATGTTCTTTGTGGAGTCATGTTTGTAACATGCAAGGAACTATAAGTGCAATTGCTAGACTTAAAGTTCTTAAAAGTGTTGATTTAAACAAACCCAAACAAATAAAAGACCAACCCACAAACAAAGTAGTATCTCAGGTATTAATATTTTTTTTTATTTGGCACTTTAGCAAGAACCTAAAATACCCGTGTGAACTTCTGCTGGTGGATTTTCTGTTTCCCTGGAATGTTTTCCATAAACCTTTGTGCTCTTTTGGAGAGTTTTCTGTAACACTTTGTTTGTTTTACAGATTAACTTCCTTTGACTTCCATATATAACCCCTGTTGTAGCTGTTTCCTTGAATAAATGAGAGGTGTACACCATGCATGAGTCCTTGCTTTGTTGTTGCTAACACTCATGTCAGATATTGTAAATTCTGTGCTTCTGGCTTTGGAAACACCCAGATGTAGTGCTGGGAGAACCAGCCAGGCTGTGCTGTGTGGAAGCTGCTGCCTCATGTTTTGGTTCATTGTCCTGCTCAGCTTTTGCTTTACCAAAGCATTTCAAACTTGTGCTTTGACTGTGAGCAGTGTTGCTTCAGTAGGAAGGAAATCTGGTATGGAAAAACCTTCCCATGCTACTGGAAGGCATTGGAAAGTTTGCTTTAGCCATTGTCCTGAGCTGCAGGTAGCACTGCAGGGTTGGGGCTCACTGTCTTGTGACCAGTTATCAAATATGTATTCAGAGCTCTCATTTAGTTCTGAAATAGGTAAAGAGCTCGTGAAAAATCAGAGCAAATGCAGAATATTCTGAGGAGTGGACAGGCACTGGTGTAAAGGACATCAGACATTAGGGCTGATCATGAATTTTATGATGCAGACTTGAAAATATTTTTTGTTAAATCTTGTGTATATTTGAGAAATATAGGTAAATTATTTACCTACAAATTAATCCTCATTTGAAAGAGCAGCAGATACTGCAGTTAATGCAGTGATATTTTGAGTGTAGTAGCTCCTGCATAGGTAATTAATTTTTTCCCCTTTTCCATTCCTTTCCATACTGTATTCCAGGGTGCTTGTTAGCACTGCTTGGAGTGTTGTAAAGCCAAAAGCACAACCAAAGTTAACAGCAGCAACCCATCTTATTTCCTTTCACTTTGAAGTACTTAAAATAAAACATTTTAAAATGCTTTAAAAAAATCTATTCTGAAGACTTAGCTAAATGAGGCAGAAAGTACCGAACTAACTTCTGTTGTAGCTTTTTCAAGGTAAATGCTGCCTACACAACAAAGTCATCTTTCAGATGTTTTTTCCTAAACTGTTTGAATGTTTTGATGCTTTTGTAAGAAGCCACACAAAATTGAAACTGATAATTAATTAATTAATTAAAACTCAGTGTAAGTCACTGTAATCATCTGATATGCTTTAAAAATTGAGATGTTGAGTTAAATCAGTTGCCTGAAATGTTTAAGCTCTGAGGAGCATGTAATTTTGGGGGGGGTTTATATGTAACTAGAAGTGAGTGCAAATCTGTGAGAAGTTGTGTAGTTGTTACCCCAAAGTGCCTCAGGTCACTTGGGAGGCTTTGTTCCCCCTCCCTTCGCTGTGCATTGCTCGTTGTTGTACTTGTGTTTTTAGAGCTGTAGTTTTCAGCCATTCTGATCAGTTTATCCTTGCATGTTCACTGTCCTGGTTGCAGCATGAAGCGTGCCAGTTCTCTGAATGTTCTTAACATGGGTGGCAAGGCTACTGAAGATCATTTTCAAGTAAGAAGCCCTACAATACTCTTACAAAAATAAATACTGTTAGTAGGGTTTGGGATGAAAAGAGTGTGATAAATAATAACCCAACAACCTCGCAGTGATTGTGAGATCCTACTTCAGTAAGGTGGTTGAAGGCTGTGCTTAAGGCATCATTCTCTGACACTTTGGTGAATTATGATTAATTTTAAGAAAGGGTTCAAGTCTAGCCAGGAAAGAGCATTGGCTTTTATGATACCAAGCAGTCTCTGGCTTTGGACTTCTACTACAGTGGATATAAAACTTATGGAATATTACATTCTTGTAAAAGCAACTTAAAAATGCAAGAATTGTTAAAGCCCAATATTTTCAATATTTTTTAATTCAGCCCATTTATTGCAAAGAGCCCTGTCAGTGTAATTGCTGTATGTAACCAGGTGCCCTTAAACACTTCAGTTGTTTCTGAGGTGGCACAGGAGCAGTCTCAAAAGTTTGTCTGATCTGTGTTGTGCTTCTGCTAACACAAAAACTTATTTTGCTTAACTGTTCATGGTGTGCCCAAGTGCTACTCCTCATTGCCTGTTTTTACCTAACAAATCACTGTTTAAATTGTCAAATGAGTGAGCAATGTTCTTCTAAACACTGCTGTGTGTTTTACTAACACAGTAACTGCTACTAATTTTAGGAGGATAAAATTGCTTCTCTACTAACAAAACTGTAGGTGAGGATCTTCATCACCATCTCCTAAAGCAGCAGCAGGGAGGCCCCAGCTGTGGCTCTGGTTGTGCTCCCCAGTGGTGGAAAGGTGGTGGAGCTGTGTGGTCCTGATGAATGTGCTGCAGAGTTCTCTGTGGTTGAAGTGTGAGCAAAACTTTGCTCAGGGTGAGGTTCAGCCAAAACCAGTCCAGGGTAAAGCACAATTCTCTGCAGCAGCAGTGCCAGGGGTGTCAGAGAGCTGTGTCCCAGGTGCCCCTGACTGGATGGATCCCCAGTGTGTTAAATTGCTGTCACTTCCAGAGGAGGGGATTTTCGTTGGTTGTACAACCCAGTAGTAAAAATCAGTTCTTTCTTCTTGTGAACTTTTGTGGTCCCTTTACTATCCATACCCATGGCAATTCCCATAAATGGGCTCTTGCATTTCTGAGGCTTAGGCTGGATTGTAAGGGTGTTTATGCTTTATAGTATTGTTAGTTAAAAATTGGGGAAAAAAATGTTTATTGGACTCTGGAAAGCATCCCCCTATCCAGCATGAATGGTTCTCAGTAGTTCCCTATGTTTGTTCCCATTTGTTAAAACTGGTACTTTGTTTGTTTGAACTATCTGGACATCTGCTTAATTTCTTTGTTTGTTTTTTTCCCCTTCACGCAGGAACGAAATAATTGTCTGACAGACTGGCGAGCTCTGAGTGTCAGTCATTCTGATCTGGCACACTGAGAGCTGGACAGAAGCTAGCTAATATTCCTTGTGAATAAAGAAGCACTGAGACCTTCAAAGCTTTGGTTCCTCATCCTTGTCCATAGGAACACCTAGTTTGTAGATGTTGTTGTTTTTTTTCCAATGGACTGCTGTTTTTACTTTTGAAATAGGGACAATTTTAAACACAGCATTAGTGAGTGTTTTCTTCTAAGGGAAAACTATAGATAGGTATTGCTCATTGCACTGCCCCTGTTCATGCTACTTAACATAAATTTCTTTAATAGATCTGACTATTACAGCAGCCAAAAAAAAATAGTAAGAAAACAAACACATTCAATGTGTACCAAAATGCAGTGGTGTTGGAAAATAGAAAGAAACTGTGTGGCAGTAAATCCATGCAGTGCTGGAATGAGAAATGGATAAATTTATGTGCATTACTGTAGAAATTCCAGTTCAGCATTCTGTAGAGGTGGGGTTTGCCCTTGCACTGCTGATTCTTGTAATGGTAGAAGCCTTGGCTAGCAAACAGCACTTAGACATGACTTAACCACTAGACTGAGCTATTAAACCTTACAGAAGTGATGGCTGGGGGTGAGTTACACTTAGATAGAATAAACAGCAACACCTGTGACCATAACTTCTGATGTTGCAAGTCTTAGGGCACAATAGTCAATGGATATAGGATGGTTTGTGTACATCAGGAGAAATGGAAAAAACCTTTGCTTTGTGTGATTGAAGAATACTCAAGTTTTGGACTGCAACTGTCCCAGAGCAGCTGCTGCTGCTTTCAGGGGAGCACCGAGCCTCAGGTTGACTTTCTCGCTTGTCCACTGGAATTCACAATCCCATTCTGTGTTTGCTGAAAGTGCCCAACATTTCCTTATGCTGATCCCAAATCCTGCCTTTTCCCACACCAGCTGGTGACAGCAGCAGCAGGCACTGCACGCCAGGATGTCACACTGGAGTGGCTGCTCTGCAAGGACCACTCCCTGCTGAGGCCCTCGTGGGAGCACTCAGAGGCTGTGAGTGACCTGGGTGACCACATATCCGTGTTACAGGTTAATATATCTGTGCTGTCTGTACACAGGACTGCTGCTGGAACAAAGTATGTATGTATGTTTTAAGGATTTTATAGACCTTAGGATTTCATTTTGCTTTTCTGTAAAGCTTGTACTTTTGTTCATCTTCTGTAAAAATTCCTATTTGTGTGGAGTTGGATAAGAAAGTAAAAAAAAAAAACAAGCAGTGTGTGTAAAAATGTATTTGTGGTCATAGTTGGGAGTTGGAAAATGTCTAACAAAATTAACTTTGGGAAAAGCTGGAAAATTCATTCAAAGTCAGCACCAACTGAAGAATACAAGAACATAGGAAAGTTTTAGTATTTGAACAGTAATTAGAATTAGTACTTAGTAGGAGTTTCTGACTGGGCTTGCGCCTGGTTCTAAGTTGGTTCCAGTAAGTGATGCAGGAGCTGTCTGTGTAATGCACTTCCCAATGTTTACCAGGAGGTACCGACTGAGCCTCTCTGCAGAGGCAGCCGTGCCTGGTGCTCCTGCTTTGGAGACAGTGTAGGAATGCTGAGACAATGCTGCTAATCGTTTTGTAGAAGTTTGAGCACATAGTGCAATTCCTTAATGAACTCGAGCAGGAACAGGTTGTTGCTCGTTTATCTTAACAATAGATACTCATATAATGTTGACTCTTGAGTTTTAATCTTTTTATTAAGAGCTTTTTATATTAAAAAATATGTAATATATATACTTCTTTTTCCCCCCCCTAAAGTAAAACGTGCTCTGTGCCCCTGCTGGCTGACTGGGCTGGCTTTGCTCAAAGAGCTGGCTCAGGCTGCCAGGCCAGGGGGGCCCTTGTGCAGCCCCCACCCCTCTGGAGTCTCCAAAAAAACCCCACAGAACTATTCAGACACAAAATGTTTTGGTAGTAAGGAATTACTTAAACTGAAGGATGTGATTCCCACATTCAGCTTTGAAACAGAATTCTTTGCAACTTCTCAAACCCCCAGCCCTGTGTAAATAAGCAATAAGTTATGTAACCATGCCAAATGACAATGTACAGTGAGTTTGAAAGTGCTAGACTGTGGTTTGTAGAGGGTGATGGTGAGGGAAATTTCCTGGTCAAGATCTTGCTGGTGGTGGCATTATTAATACTGTGCTTCTAAATGTTCTAATCCTTTATGTAGTATTTCAAAGTGTGATGGAAGGTTAAGTTGTTGAGCTAATGCATATTAAACAACTTTTATATTTAAGAGGTTCTTTTTTTTTTCTGAGAAGAAACAAATTTCAAGAGTTCTTTAATCCATAATCCCTGAGAATAGTAGCCAAGTCCTTACTGTTAGGAGCCAGTGAGCTGTTAGCAGTTTGAGAACTTTAAAAAAACACAAAGCAAATCAAAGTCAACATTCCCTGTGTTTGAAGCATGGATGAGTTACTGTCAGGACATGGTTTATGTATATTTATATTTCAGACAGGCTTCTCAGTTCACTTTTATGCAAGATTTTCTTTCTGGATTTCCATTTGTAAGGTTGTAGTTATAGCTAAGAGTCTGCATAAAGAATATATCCAGAATATCCAGTTGTATAATTCTGGGATGTCTTCAGCACCAAATCAAATCAGCAGCTCTGATGAAATGGAAAACCAGAAAAGACCTTCAAAATTGACAGACACCTTGTCAGGATAACTGCAACAGTGCAGTTGTGGTTTTAATCTGGCATTTTTGTCCTTCACTAAAATTTTAAGGGGGAACTTGTATAGAAAGGTAATGAGGACTCCACATTGGGCCTCAGATTCTCCCACATCAGTGGTGAGTCTGGTGTGCAGCAGGATGGGCATGAGCTGTACAGGGAATTGTTGTGATGGAAAGGTGCCTGTTGCCCTTCTGTCTCTGGCTATATTGGCAAAATTCAGTCTTGAGTTTAGAGCCTACTGAATAGTCTTGTAAAATGGAATTGTTTCATGATTGGCTCCTCTTCTGGAGGAGTGACTGACCTGTTGCTGTGGTGTGCCTGCACTTACACAATGCAAAAAGAGTCAGTTATCTACAGTTTGTGCTTCCAGTAAATGACACCTGCATCCCCCAAGCACTCCCTAATTAGTAAATTTAAATGGTTTTGAGCTTGAGAAGTATTTGTACTTAAATTGTATCATTTGAATCCAGAGATTTTGCAGATGGTATGACTGTGTTGTAAATATCTAATAAAAGGTGTGTGCAGTGCTGCACTGACAGTTGTGTTCACAGTAGTTGCTGATATTGGTTTTTGTTATGTAGGTCACACGTTGTGTCTGAAGGCTGCCAGGAGTGGCATTTTTGGTCCTGTTTGTGCTGAGAGAATGAATGTTAACAGATGTGATGCTGACAAGTTTAGTTCCATTGTCATGGATTTACAGAAGTACACAGGGCTGTGTGTGTGTGTGTGTGTGTGTGTAAATATTTAGAATTGAGGAGTATCTCAAACATCTACATTGGATTGTTTTTTTTCCCCTAAAACCATTCACAATTGTGCCAGTACACTGAACAACTGAGGTCAGTTGTTAAAAAACCTGAAACAACAAAGCAAGAGGCCAAACAGAGTGTGGGGGTCTCGTGGAGGTCCAAAGGCCCACGCTGGGAGGGTGCTTGTGCTCACAGGGAAGCTGCAACACTTCCTTGGTTACATCTGCTTGTAAATGAGAAATATTTAGGGAACCATAGTTTCTCAAGTGTCATTTAACATTTCAAAGTGTAGAAGAATATTTAAGTAGTCTTGCAGGATAAAGACTTAATACATTCTAGACTGTAAATCTTCTTTGTAAAAACTACTTCCATTTTTTTCCTTGTATAGAATACAAATCTCAGTTGTGAAACCCAAAGATGAATAAAGCTCTATAAAGGGAAGGTTCTTAATTTGCATTTATTAAAACTTAAGCACATTTCAACACTTTTGACACAAGCTTCCATGGACAGGTGCTGTGTTGGGTTCCTGTGAGGGTTTGCAGCCCCAAAGCTGTGCTGGGGGTGGGACTGAGGGAGGGGGTGTTGGCTGTGAGCCTCAGTGGGGCTCAGCTGCATTTGAGACTGCAGGGTCTGTGTGTGCTCAGGAGCCAGGAGACAAACTGGAGAGAAATAACCAACAAACCAACAGGGGAATGACACAACATTGAGCAGACAAAATATTACTTCTGTTTGTTGGTAAACCTGTTTTTCACCAGGTAAACTAGAATTTGATTACAGACCCATCTGTGACTTATAACACTTCAGGGCTGTTCCAGCAAGCATTTGCAAGTTTCGAAAAAGAGTGATCAAAATATCATTGACTCAGATTTTGATCAAAATATGACTGAGCCTTTGGAGATTTGACACTGTTCTGGACATGGCTCACAGCAAGGCAAACTCCCGGGACTGGAGCCCAGCAGTTGATGAGGCTTTTCTGTAAATGAATATCCAGGTAGGGTTTGGTGCCTCCATGAATCAGCAGCATCTCTGTGTGTCGGATCTCA